TAATATTTACATTATTCAGTGAAGACACGTATCGTCTTGTTTGTGGTGCAAACTGTGATTACAAACTGTGATTACAAACTGTGATTACAGGCTGTGATTACAAATTGTGATTACAAATTGAGATCACAATTTTACAGGCTTGTTTGTGGTACAAATTGTGATTACAAGCTGTGATTACAAACTGTGATTACAAACTGTGATTACAAACTGTGATTACAGGCTGTGATTACAAACTGTGATTACAAACTGTGATTACAAACTGTGATTACATACTGTGATTACATACTGTGATTACATACTGTGATTACAAACTGTGATTATAGGCTGTGATTACAGACTGTTTTTACAGACTGTGATTACAGACTGTGATTACAAACTGTGATAAACTGTGACTACAAACTGTGACTACAGACTGTGACTACAGACTGTGATTACATACTGTGATTACATACTGTGATTACAAACTGTGATTATAGGCTGTGATTACAAAACAAACTGTGATTACAATCTGTGATTACAAAACAAACTGTGATTACATACTGTGATTACATACTGTGATTACAAACTGTGATTACAAACTGTGATTACAGACTGTAATTACAAACTGTGATTACAAACTGTGATTACAGGCTGTGATTACAAATTGTGATTACAAATTGAGATCACAATTTTACAGGCTTGTTTGTGGTGCAAACTGTGATTACAAACAGTTTGATTACTAATGGTGATTACAAACTGTGATTACAGGCTGTGATTACAAATTGTGATTACAAATTGAGATTACAAGCTGTGATTACAAACGGTGATTACAGGCTGTGATTACACACTGTGATTTTTTCGTTATTCTGTCTTCGAATCAAGCTCACATTGGATGTGTTGTATGCTACAGCTAGACAGCTAGTTAATATTTACATTATTCAGTGAAGACACGTATCGTCTTGTTTGTGGTGCAAACTGCGATTACAAACTGTGATTACAAACTGTGATTACAGGCTGTGATTACAAATTGTGATTACAAATTGAGATCACAATTTTACAGGCTTGTTTGTGGTACAAATTGTGATTACAAACTGTGATTACATACTGTGATTACATACTGTGATTACATACTGTGATTACAAACTGTGATTATAGGCTGTGATTACAGACTGTTTTTACAGACTGTGATTACAGACTGTGATTACAAACTGTGATAAACTGTGACTACAAACTGTGACTACAGACTGTGACTACAGACTGTGATTACATACTGTGATTACAAACTGTGATTATAGGCTGTGATTACAAAACAAACTGTGATTACAATCTGTGATTACAAAACAAACTGTGATTACATACTGTGATTACATACTGTGATTACAAACTGTGATTACAAACTGTGATTACAGACTGTAATTACAAACTGTGATTACAAACTGTGATTATAGGCTGTGATTACAAAACAAACTGTGATTACAAACTGTGATTACAATCTGTGATTACAAAACATACTGTGATTACAGACTGTGATTACATACTGTGATTACATACTGTGATTACAAACTGTGATTACAAACTGTGATTACAAACTGTGATTACAGACTGTGATTACAAACTGTGATTACAGGCTGTGATTACAAATTGTGATTACAAATTGAGATCACAATTTTACAGGCTTGTTTGTGGTGCAAACGGTAATTACTAACTGTGATTACAAACTGTGATTACAAATTGAGATTACAAGCTGTGATTACAAACTGTGATTACAAATTGAGATTACAAGCTGTGATTACACACTGTGATTACACACTGTGATTACAGGCTGTGATTACAAACTGTGATTACAAACTGTGATTACAAACTGTGATTACGAACTGTGATTACAAACTATGATTACAGGCTGTGATTACAAACTGTGATTACAAACTGTGATTACAGGCTGTGATTACGAACTGTGATTACGAACTGTGATTACAAACTGTGATTACAAACGGTGATTACAAACTGTGATTACAAACTGTGATTACATACTGTGATTACAAAACAAACTGTGATTACATACTGTGATTACAAACTGTGATTACAAGCTGTGTAGGTTTATGTTGCTAAGGTCATTAGTCCAATTAGGAGCGGGAAAAGGACTCAGGACTCTATTTTATTTTGACAATAAATAACAGTTCTGTAAATTTTTATCAAAATTTTCAACAATAGGAATGCCGGATCAGTCAAATTATAAGTTTTAATTTTGACTTGTTTCATTGGTGCAATCCCTTTGCTTTGGAATCTTTCAATGAGTTTTAAAACTTCTTAATCTCCAACTATATAACTTTATTCAAAAATATAATAAATTAAGCATAATTTAACAATTGTAAATCAATCTCAAAAAAGATGGAAGAAGCTCAACTTGATTAGGTGACTGTATTTTCCTGTCATGTCTGACTAAAGCTCCAAAACATCCTCACTTTGAATTTATTTTTTACAATGCTAGGGCAAGACAAACATAAACAACCATTGATATGTAGGGCAAAATAGGATCTTCGCTCCAAAAACACAGGATCTACTTCAAAAGAGGTGAATTTGAGCAAACTTAAATATTCTCAAAAAGTAAATAAATATATCAAAACAAAACAATTTTGATTTTTCTGAATAACGCACACAGTATCACACACTAAATTCAATATCTGTGTCCATCTGGTGACAATTCAAAACAGAAATACTAGCAGTCTTTAAGACATGAAAGTTGTAATCAACACAATGTTATACCTCAAACAAAATAGACTGCCTTTGTAGTTGTTTTGAATCATGCCCTGATGAGCACAAATATCTTCTCTTGCCTATTAATATAATTTCATATTATTTAGAGGAATAATATAATACAAGGAACAACAGCTGAGACTTCAACTCAATCTACTCTTGTAGTTTCTTTATTTTATTCCTAAATCTTATTTTACTTAACTTATATATCTTCAGCTAGGCCCTGTTTCACAAATCTTAACAAAGAGGAAATCAAGATTTTAAGAAATACAGTAATCTGATTGATTCAAAAATCTAGATTGAAATCAACTTTAATGATTGACCAATCAGATGACTTGAACACTAAAATAATCCACAGCGAGCTCCGTTCAAGATTTTGTAAAAAGAAAGCTAGGTCCTGATGTATTATCATTATTAGTTCCAATTAGTAAATACATGATCTATTTAAGTTCATGTATAATTATATACATGACAACTATAATATGATTTTCTTCTTTATTAACATGAAACCACATCTAAACACAACTTTAACCCTGTGCCAGTGCTTTCTGTTGAATAGTGACTAGTTGGTAACCAATAGTAACTGGTTTCTTTTCAACCAACCTAATCACTAAATAATCCTATTGTTTGAGCTGAAAAAAAGGGGCAAAGACATTGTAAGACTAACAATACTAACTTGAAGCTGATATTCCAATTATTTAAAAAAATATAGAAAAATTTCAAAACACTTTTTGCTTTGCTCAGAAAATAATCAAGGATTTCGTAAATCTGGCCGTTTATATTTTTGTCAGGTTGGTCCATAAGACGATCTTATGAAGTCAATCTTTGGTCAAAAAAAAGTTGCACAAAAATCAAATCTCTCCGAGAGACTCTTCCTTTCACTTTGATGCAACTTGGATTTTTTGTTTAATATCAAAATATCATCAATTCTGCGGCAACTTCATCATAAAAACAAGACTGCTTTTCAGAAACAAAACTACTAGTTGAACACCATACTAACTGTCATTTAACTTTTATAATCCAGATGGTTTTAATGACTGATATTGATTTTTAACTAATGTTCTGTTCATATTCACTCTCCTAATGTAAGGGTAGGGTGTACGAGCTATTTAAGAGAGGAGAGTTGTAAACCATCATTAGCTTGGACCTCAAATATACCATCGTCTTCTTTAATCAACATGGTGTAGAAAGGTAGGACATAAATCTCCATTCATTTCATTTTCAAATATACCAGTGTTTGCATCAAATTTTTCCAACATCTGCACAAAATAGAAGACTGCAACCCCCACAGGTCCTCATATCTCGTATTCTTTAACATTGTTATAAATATTGGCTTGGATTCCTCTCCCAGCCCTATCTCTAGGTAATTATGAGTCTATTCCGAGTATTTATCAACACGAACACCGACTACGTTGAGTGATAGAACTCAACTCATTGTTCAACCTGATTGTATTTTCACGACCATTCTGATTGGTTGAATCGTTTAAATCATCCAACTCCGCGTGCTTCGTCATCATTTCTTCGATTAAAAACCTGCAGAATATGAAAGATAAAAACATAGTTAGTTCTAGTTGATCATTATCCGAAAGTAACAACAGCCAACAGAGCTACCAAAATGTATTTTAAATAAAAATCTGTACAAGCAAGACATTTCTGTCAATCAAAGACAGAAATGGAAAGTAAAAGTTGTATAGTAGTGGACTCCTCCAAAGAGAAGTATCATCAGGTGTTTCGAAAAGAGTAAGCATGGTCTGCTTTGTGCACAATGAATTTGTATAATGGTTATTTACTCTTCGCCTTTCCAAAGTGGGAAGGCCAAGCCACCTCTTGCTTTCTTAACATTTCCTGCCTTACATCAAGGCTACCAGGGAAAGCAAGTATCAAGACATCATCGTCTTTATTACACGGTGTTTCGAAATTAGAACCCTCTCCCCATGGCTTAAACTAAAATAGATATGACAAAAACTAAAGTGATTCTGAACAGATATGTATTTAAATTTTCTCTCAGGGTATCTGATATTTTCTGTGGCTTCCATCTTCCTGTATCACACCCTGCATTCTTGAGGGATTGTTGAAAGTATTTCATGTTCTATAAGATTTTTAAAATTTTTTATTTGTTGAGGTTTTGCATGAAAAGGTACCATGTTTCAAGGTTCTTTGGACTAACAAACATTTTTGTTTAACATGCATCAACAGTTCAAGAATTCAGTCAGACCACTGTTAGGAAACATTAAGATTTTGTCTAAAATATCAATAATAAAACTGGTTTACCTCATAGATTCTTCTATCATTAACCCCTCTCTAACTGAAGTTTCCGTCCAACCTAGAAAATCATGTTCCTTACACATATCTTCTATTTCTTGTTGTTCTACTTCACGATGGGTTAAATCAGCCTGAAACAAAACAAAAATAAAATCAAAAACTGAAAAATTAAAAAAAAGTTTGAATTCAAGATACTATCCGACAAAAAAACACACTACCTTATTAGCTAATAATAAACAAGGTACCGCACTGCCATCTAGTTTAAAGCCTACCTTATTAGCTAATAATAAACAAGGTACCGCACTGCCATCTAGTTTAAAGCCTACCTTATTAGCTAATAATAAACAAGGTACCGCACTGCCATCTAGTAAGGAACATTTGGTATCTAAATCTTTCTTCCATTTAATGGCGCTCTGAAATGTGGAGCGTTGAGTGAGATCGAACATGATGATACAGGCGTGAGCATCTTTATAGTAAACTCTAGTCATTGACGTAAACCTTTCTTGACCTGAAAACATAAGACAGAAAATAAATAAATATTACTACCAATATGATTGAAAAAAACCAAATTATCGTCAAAATGATTGAAATAAAGGTGTAAATATATTGTTTTGTATAATTTCTTTGACCTACAAATATAACAAACGTATGTGACCAGTGACTAGCTCAGTCCACAGTAACTACATGCTTGACCATATTCAATCCTGGGTTCAATTTCTTCTCAAACCAAAATATGAATCTAACCACTTGATGTGATTTTTTCAATACCAAACTGGGTTTACAGTTACTCATGACTGTAATGTTCAGAAGTTGTATGTGTGTATTTATTGTTAGAAAACAGCCCATTAAAAAGGTCTGGAAGAGATTGTGCATTTGATCATGAATATTCATGAGTATCACTTGGGTACCTACAAGCTTTACCAAAGTAGAAATATGCAATCACTTTGCACATGTTTAAAGGTCAATGAAAAGGAATAGAAATAGAATATAGTAAAAATATTGAAATACTGGTAAAACAATACCTGCTATATCCCACAGTTGTAACTTTATGTTTCTGTTATCAGACCATTTTATCACTTTCAGAGCAAAATCAACTGAAATACAACAAATTAAATATTTATCACACTTAGAAAGACCACTTTTCAGCAAACTTTTTGACTTACCTCCCTTTGTAAATAATTGGTTTCGGGCTTAAAACTAGGACAATATTTGTGATAAAATGTTAAATAAAAAATAGTATAAGTTATTGAGGACTGGCCAATTCATCCAGTAGGCAATGGGGTAAACTTTAACCTGACAGGAATATTAGGTCACCCTTTAAATGATGTGCACTTGTCATAGAACAATTAACACACACAGGCATCAATCTCTCGTATAGATTAAATATCTGGCTCTTCCCAGCTCCTCTGATGTGTTTAACAGAAGTTACATCGTCAATGGTAGGGCAGAACAATTATCTACCTAGAACATAGAATTCCAAGCTTCTACACCCCTCTCAAAAAAAGGATTTGCAGTATTTGGATGAATTATTAATGTAACTGTTGATGGATATTACACTTGAGAATCTAGGTAGGGCCAGATTTTTTGATCTCAGATGTAAATTTGATAACAAATGAACACAAATTTTAAAGAATAAACAACACACCTCCAATTGTCATTTTATAGTCTTTTCTGTAGGAATTATTCACATATCTCTGGACAAAGGATGTTTTCCCCACAGTAGGGTCACCGATAATAATGACTTTAAATAATACTTCAGCCATAACAACTCTCTAGAACCCCTGCTACTCTTAGAAATCCTGAAACCCCTGTCACTTTCAGACTCTCTTCAGCAATGACTTTTTATTTCACATCATGTTCACAATTTTGAAGATGATGTTTTCATTTAATGCTGGGGCTTATTTTGAAAGTTTGTCTGAACAGTCCAGAGTCAAAAGTCAACTGAACAAAATGTGTTGATTTCCTAGGATCCAATACCAGTAAGACTATATCAAAGAATGTAAGGTAACAAAATGAAATCAAAACAGTCGTGAACACAACACCGGCTATTATGTAGCATAAAATCGCTCCACTTTACCACTTTCCGCATGAGCTCCGATTGACAGACAATACTATTTGTTAAAAAATTTCAGCCTTCTTTTAATTCACAATTAACTAAAAGAACATTGCTTAAAAGCCCTTAAAATATTTCAGAATAGACCCTTTTTCTTCGATTATTCTATTTCTTGGGAAAAGAAAAACATTAGATCATGTGACTTGAGGTCAGATGATGAGTCATGTGATCTATCACGTGATGTAAAAGGATTCAGACAACAAATGTTTTTAATAAAAACAATTATACGTTTTGTTTTCGACACTTTTGTATATTTGCACTTGTGTGTTTGATCGATTTTGGTCATTGATTTCTGTATGCTGAATATTCCCATGTGTAGAAATCGAATAATTATCCAGTAATTTGCAAAATACCAATACCATGTCCAGAATTTAGACGTTACCATTTCAAAGCATAGTCAAGGTCACAAGACAAGCCTTGAAATTTTCAACTTGTAGGTTTTTTTTAACTTTTATTTTCTGCCTTTGTCTTTTAGATCTCTGGAAAATGTAACGTCGCAGGTTGGTGAACTGGCCCGGGTCTTCGAGACAAATTAAAACGATTGACTGCTTAAAAGGGGCACCCCATGAAAGCACGACAATGTATTGACGTATTAATACTATAGCCTAGGCTATTGCAACAATGTTACTTGTCTAGTATAATTGAAGTAGGCCTATTGTTGCTAGTACTCCATCGACATCGTATCACGAATACGGGTTTTGACATGGTCTTGAGGAAGTATGACGAATGGGGGTGTGGTTTGAACACGATGCTAGTACTCCAGCCTGTTGATTGGCGTTGCAGGCTCTCTCTGCAGGCCTCTGTTGGCTCTAGTAGACTCCATCGGCGGTAAGAAATATGATAAAATAGATAAAAATAAGGTAACAAATTTATTGGTTTTTTTTTTCTCAAGATTTCATCTTTCATAAAATAAAAATGGCAGGAGAGTATGAGAGTCCAAATATCAAACAAGAACCAGAATCCAACAGTCTTACAGAATCTGGAAAAACTACACCGACACAACAGAACATCTCACCTTACGTTCTTAACAGAGACAAAGCGGTCAAGAAAATCCTTGATGCTGCAAACAGAGAAGCGCATGCCCATTTTCAGTTTCACTCCAATCGACTGATGATCCATTTATCTGCTGCAGCTTACGGAACAATGTGTAAAGCCATACAAAAATATTATGAAAACAGTCACTTCGAGGTGCTACATAAAGAAAAAATGGATCAAGAAAAGATCGTTACAGAATTATTACTGTCCATTAAGAGTAAAGAAAACTTAAAAGAATCGTTAAGAATCTCTATGTACCACACTACTAGTAGAATATTAGTCAATGGGTCCATGTTCCAGAATTTTGCCGCTCAACATTTGGATCAAATTCGCCAATCTCTACCCAACTCGGATGAAATGGTAAAACTGAACAACGAAATCAAATTAAGATGTGAGGAATTTTTGAAAGATCAGAAAAACCAACGTAAATCAGATTCCAAAAGCACGCCCCTAAAAACACCAGAACCTTTAGAAGCCGTATCTGCTGAAACGCCAGATGCTGTACCATTTATAGAAACGCCAGATGCTGTACCATTTATAGAAACGCCAGATGCTGTACCATTTATAGAAACGCCAGTTGCTGTACCATTTATAGAAACGCCAGATGCTGTACCATTTATAGAAACGCCAGATGCTGTACCATTTATAGAAACGCCAGTTGCTGTACCATTTATAGAAACGCCAGTTGCTGTACCATTTATAGAAACGCCAGATGCTGTACCATTTATAGAAACGCCAGTTGCTGTACCATTTATAGAAACGCCAGTTGCTGTACCATTTATAGAAACGCCAGATGCTGTACCATTTATAGAAACGCCAGATGCTGTACCATTTATAGAAACGCGAGGGACTGCTGAAACCCAAAAAGCTATACTCTTTACAAAAACGCCGAACAAAAATCAAGAAGCGTCCAGACCAAGTTCTGATGTTACTGTCACAAAGTCTAACACCAACACACCTGTACCTGATAGAAATATGGCAGATATTACTGCAAGATCAATCGAAGACGCTATTTCTACAGAAGAGGTATTTATGACTCAAAATAGAGGGCCACAGTGGCCCAGTTTGGTGTCCTTGCCAGCCCTTCAGTTTCAGATAAGACTTTATTCGCAGTTTCCCCCTTGTCATTGGGTCTGGAGGGTCTAGAAGAGACGTCTAGTCATTCGGATGGGAAAATAAATCGAGCCCTTTCGAGAAATCTGAACGGTTCAAATAGGAGCTATAAGTGCCCCAGCCAGATAATTATTATACAATTGCTTTAAAAAGGTTTTGAATCCCTTTGAATTTAACTTTCTGTTGAATGACTTAAAATATTCCAGCGTTGGATTTTGAGTTTACTATTGTAATGATAACTGACATATCAAATATTTTGGTTTTTTATCTTTCAGAAACTTAACACACCAAAGAAGCAACCAAACGATTCAGAGATGGGAATTGATTCAAAACCATCTGAAACCCCGAACGTTACACCGTCCGCAATGGGTGGGTATAATTTGACAAGAATGGAATATTCTCTTTGTTGAGTTATTAGTCCTGTTCAATGAGTTCTATCTCTTTGCTCATCTACCAATGTGTGAAAGTAGGACGTAAAACTCCATTCATTTCATTTCATCTACCAATTTTCGATTGAGTCACATTGAAGATTCTATTTCCTAAACGATTGTTGACAGTCTTCAAGATGATCTGGGATATACGGTCATTTAGGCACAAATATCTTAGACCCAAGACATTGAAAACGTGTCTGTATGACCAGTGCCTGAGTGTCAATGTGTCTAAAGATTGTACCTAACTAAAGTACTGAATCTATCTGACTTGGGCTTAAAATATTTGTTCCAAAATGACCGTGAATCTTTCAACTAGTTTCAACAATTTGAGGCAGTGAAAAATACCCAAAATAATTTTTTGATTCTGTTTTGTTTTTCAGATTCACCAAGATACGAGCGAGGATCGATGCAAGAAGAACATGCCACGATTATCCGATCCAACTACACGTTCCTATTGGATCAACTGAGACCCATCCACCTGGTTGATTACCTGTACCAAGAATGTATTTTTGACCTAGAAATACACGAGAGAATTACATGTAATACCAATAAAGACGGTGATATAGCGGGGATGAGAATATTTCTAAACGCTTTGCTAAAATCCGGGAAATCTGCATTCCCCAAGTTTCTAGAAGGTTTAAGGTTAACAGGATATGATCATGTTGTTGATATTTTAACGGGAACTAAGTCCGTGTAATATTTCACCTAATTTAAATTAGACAACAATTTCGTTTCTTTTTTTTCTGATAATTTTCGTCTCCACTGTAATCTAACAAGTTTTCTACCAAAGTTGCCTTCTGATGACGTAACCTTTAACCAATCAAAAAAAACAAGATACGGAATTGTGGGGTCGCGAAACCTGAAGAGGTTTTCTTATTGCTCTACTTTGGGTTATATTTATTTTATTAAGATGTGGGTTAATGCAAAATTTAGATGACTTAAATGACTTGTGGAGTCGCTTTGGTTGAGCCCTCCTTCAAATAAATAATTTGTGAGTTATTGCCCTTGTAAGAAAATTAACTTGTATTTGTATGAAGTTATTAATAGAAAGTTTGTTTTGAATATTATTTATTGTAATTGGTATTTTCCTGTATCTTTCCCGGCCTAGTTTTCCTCATTGTACACTGCACGTCAGTGAACAATGATGTAACTGAAAGATAGAACATTCCACATATATCGATTGTGAAGAATGCATTAATTTATGTTACAGGGACATAACCGCCATTTTGGGGGTTGGTTTGAGTCTTGAATATTCTTCAGATGTACCGGTACTAGAAATATACAAAAACTAGGAATTTGACTCACTATTTCTATAGATGTCTTTTCTATATATGGCAGTGTCTCAAGAAAAAGAGGAGTTGTCTTTTTAACTCTCAAACGCAGATAATTCTGGACACACATGAATTTGAAGGCTCAAATTTGGACGATGAGCTGTGAACACTATTACTGTAATAAATCCTGTAATATTATATCCTGATCCTTATGCGAGGAAACTTACAGGGAGCACCATGGCCACTACGATTCCACCGCTCGATAGTTCAAATTAAATTCTGCGAACTACTAAAGCCCCCCCCCAAAATATCCAACATGGACGCTATACGGTACAGAGTACTGTACTCGGCACGATGATAGTCGTCTGTGTTATGAATGTGGTGCTAACTCAGTTCTACTGTTCCAGTCATTCTAGCAGCACGGCACTCACGAACAAAGATGTCAGCCGATTGGGAACTTTTACAAACTTTTTCTAGTAATATTTGATGTTTGTATGAAAAAGAAAGGGATATTTATCGGATTTAGGAATTTGGGGATTTGTGAAGGATTATCGTTCAGGATATTTAAGCATCGGAAAGGAGTAGCCTAAAAAGAGTACCGGTAAGTAATTAAACTTAAAGTCTAATGACAAAGTAGATTTCATGTTATTTTCTTGCTCTCTCGTCTTATTCTCTGGGTCTATGACGGGACCAATTTGGATATTTGCCAGCGTTGTAGAATTGATGAGTTGCTAGCCTGTGCCTGTGCTTTCGTAACATTACGCTTACAACCTTAAATTCCTAATAATGGGTTGATTGTTTCAAAGATCTGAGATCTATTCTATGTATTTTAAGTTAGCGGTAGGCCTATCTATGTTCTTACTTGATTGGAATCTGTCTTGTCTTGTAGCATGTATGATGTAGGAATGAAGGGCTAGGCCAGTTTAAATATTTTAAAGAAACCCTGCATGTTTTGATGATGTTTGAATTAAAAGTTGTGAGAAATTTAGATTATTATGAGTAAATAAAAGAATTTTTAGAGGTGGAAATATTATGATCTTAGGCTTGATAAGCTAGTCTACTAGATGAAATCAAAAAATGAAAAGTATTACCGCTGGTTTTGTGATACCAGTGGCATGCTTGGCAAGCACCTCGGCTTCCTCTTTCGATTTGAGAGAGCACTAGTTGTGAAAGGGGGGGTCATCGAAATTTTCTAATCCAGGGAGTCGGAGAAGGCATTTAACATGATTTTGGCAGTGGAAGTGGAATAAATTTTACATTTTTTCAGCCCTGGGGGGACAATATATAGAAATACTCGACTGTGTGATACAGGACACTACCCATCTGAATCAGGATACCTTGTTTTGGAAAAGGGGAAAACTTAACAATATATGGTACTGGAGCAATGGCATTTCTACAAGGGGCCAGGGGGGAGAGGGGGAATGCCCCCACAGAGAGTCTGGCCCAGCTTTGCTCCCCTTTTTCAAAATTTACATAACTTAGTGAAAGAATTTAAAATGCCATGGCCTCCCTGAAACATTTTGTGGCCCCTTCTCTGCCCCTCACCTATCACCCCTGGACTGAAGGAGGTGTTTTTTCACATATTCTCATATTTTTTATTTTTCCTGTATATAGGTTCAACATTTCAATTGTAAGCTAACCTGGTAGTTATAATTACTGTTTATTTAATAATTATGGCACTTAAAATGTATTTTGTCAGTTTAATTACCTGAGTTAGATTATAATAATGTCAGCATTGATAAAAAAAAAATTAAAATCAGAATTCAACTGTGTGGAGTATTTTCCTTATTGATCTGTAAAATATTCTTCCTAGTTGCACCCTGTATCAGATATCAGTATATTATAGAGATATATAGAATCCAACCAGTGTTATACTATGTTTATATTTACATTTCTAAAGCACACAAATACTCAAAATAGTACAGGGTGCCTGTGAGGAGGCACTCTCTCTCTTCCACTCATCCAATCTTCCCCGCCCCACCCTTCCGATAATGTTTTTTCTTACTTTCTTTAAAGTGATACTATGTCTTAGAATTAACATAAAATTTAAGAATTTTAAACTTGGTCAATAAGAGCCAGTAGATATACCTGGTGTCATAAATAACATAACAGGATCCTTATATAATCCGATAAATCCAAAAAACTTAGTAATTATCCATAAATATACAATTCACTATTGAAAAACGCTTAATATTAAGATTAAGCATTTTTCAATAATTACTTATTTTAATTTTCCAATTTTCTAGATTTTACAGGGATTCTGTTGTAACTTTATGACACCAGGTAAGGTCACTGATGAACTATTTTTGAGAACTTAAATTTTATGTTCATTCTAAGACGTAGTATCACTTTAATGTACTTTGTTTCCTTTATAAGTATATTTCAAACTAGTGTCAATTGTTTTCCATTGTCCAGAAATAGACTTGTTCAGTTTTATAATAGAATAAAGCCCAGATGGTGACAAGGGTCAGGGTTCATGATAAATGGTGATGAATTCTATTAGGCAGTGTTAACGAGTGTAATTAGAAACATTCGTTAATTACTAGTTTGACTGGAGAGGACAATAGAGGGTTTGATTTAGTATCTGTGTTACTAAAATTAACCATCAG